GGAAAGAAAATGTTTCGTTTAAAGTACTGTAGCTGTAGAAACATTGTCACTTGTACCAGCTATAGATACAGGAGAGTATTTATCTAAAATTCTAGATCAAAACTGTACAAGGAGCTTTCTGAGAAAAATTTGCCCATAGGATGTTATGTGGATAACCATTTTCTTTGGGACAATGTACATTTGACAAAGGACGTCATTGAGAAAAGATTGAGGATTGGCCTTACTAATATAAAGGAAATATTAGAAAAAGATTTCAAAAACAAATTGGGTGGTTTCAAGTCACGAGTTGTCAGACTGTTACACAAAGAAAGGTGCTTGCTCCAATTGTTTCAGATCCTCAAGAAAAGACTCCTGATGGTCAGAGAAATTATAATAAATAAATGAAAGAAATCCACTTTTATTTGTTTTGCTTTGCAATTACATGTGTTTTTTGGTTCAAAGGCTAAAAGGGGAATATGATGGGTTTGCTTGAATAATATGGAATATGAAAAAATTGTTACTGATTGGTTGTATAATAAGGTAGAGTGTTTATTTAAAATATTGTGTTTACTTTTCATTAATTTATTTGTAATGTCTCCAAAAGTTTTTATTCAAACAGGGGAATATGTTGAAATAGCAAACGGTTAAGCAGAAAATTGGAGTAAATTAGAATAAGTTGACTGAATAGGTATAAAAGGGGAACATAGGGGGATTGGTGTGTAAAAGGAGCTGTAAGATTGGTTAATCAATGAACTTGATCTAAAAAGAACGATGACTTGGTTTCTGTTTCATTAACCAGCTTGGACCTCACATGACAATGACAAAGTTGCAAATCTTTGAACCTAAGTGAACTGAAGGAATAAATGGGGCAGCCATGCAAATTGGGAATGTGCATTGTTATAATATGATATAATGCCAGGCGCTGGCACCATGTTACACTTCATGCCTGGGTAAACCACTCCTCCTTCTTATGCAAGTCTAAGAGGCTGTTCAGTAGTCTGTGGTGGAGCGTGGACCAGGAGTAAGTCTCAGCACAAGTGGCTATTGTCCTTCACAACAGGATGTAGTTTATTACATTGCATTTACTAAATCCAGGTCACATTAACTTAAGCATAAAACTAAGAGGTAGAGAAAACACATATGTTTCTAGCAAGTGATTGTGCCAGACATCAACTGATTCTTCACCCAGAGCTGCGTGACATCATCTGACTGAATGGAACTCACTAAAAGTCAAACATTAACTCTTTCAGAACCATTTCCTCATACATCATAGCCAAAATAAAGAATGTAGAGATTTCACGGGGTTGGAGGTTTCTGAATTCATGTAGTTAAGCAAGTGCAGTGATCATTTGTAGCTGATGCTGATTAGAGGTTGCAAAAATATGCTGTACTGGAAATGGTGTGGTTAACCTAACTGACTACACTGTGTGTAAGTACCTACTATTAATACAATAGATCCATCCATGTAAACAAGCATGGAGTCATAGAGTCATACAACATGGAAATAGACCCTTTGGTCCAACCAGTCCATGCCGACCATAATCCCAAATTAAACTAGTCCCACCTGCCTGACCCATATCCCATCAAACCTTTCTTATTCATGTACTTATGTAAATGTCTTTTAAACATTGTAACTGTAACCGCATCCACAACTTCCTTTGGAAGTTCATTCTACACAGAAAATACTATGTGTAAAGAAGTTGCCCCTTGTTTCCTTTTTAAATCTTTCTCCGCTCACCTTAAAAATATGCCCGCTAGTCTTGAAATTCCCTACCCTAGGGAAAAGACACCTGCCATTCACCTTATTTATACTCCTCATGATTTTATAAACCTCTATAACGTCACCTCTCAACGTCCTACGCTCCAGTGAAAAATGTCACAACCTATCCAGCCTCTCCCTGGAACTCAAATCTTCCATTCCTGGCAACATACTGGTAAATCTTTTTTGAATCCTCTCCAGTTTGATAATATCCTTTCTACAGCAGGGCAAGCAGATCTGGACACAGTACTCCAGAAGCAGCCTCACCAACACCCTATACTAACATTAACACGACTTTCCAACTCCTATACTCAAAGGCCTAAAGCAATGAAGGCAAGCGTGTTCAATGCTTTCTTAACCACCCTGTCCACTTGTGACATAAACTTCAAAGAATTATGTACGTGAACCCCTAGGTCTCTCTGTTTTACAACATGCCCAAAGCCCTAATTTTAATTGTATAAGTCTTGCCCTTGTTTGTTTTACCAAAATGCAGTACCTTGCATTTATCCAAATTAAACTTCATCTGCCACTCCTCAGCCCATTGACTCAATCATTCAAGGTGTCTTTTTAATCTTAAATAACGTTCTTCACTGCCCACTATACCACCAATTTTGGTATCATTGCAAACTTACTAACCATGCCTTCTATATTCTCATCTAAATCATTCAAATAAATGGCAAACAAAAGCAGACCCGACACCAATCCGTGTGGAACACTGCAGTTTTTAACCTCATCAATATAATGCAAATATAATATAAATGTAAAGATTGTCAGAGCTGCTCTAGTAATGACTTTACTTCCTCAATACTTCCAATGAAACAAAAACAGTTTATTTTTGATGGGCAGTAACAGTTTTACAATTAGTGTTTTAAATATGCAAATACCCATCAACGTGTTTAAGTTGATTTGGGCTAACTTTCAGGGATGGAGGGTGAGTTCAATAGATCACGAGACTATGACTTGATATGCACCTGTCTTGGGAGTAAGCCCAAATAATGTCACTGACAGTTGTACCCAGTAGTATTTGGGTCACTGTTTGTCATCGAACCAAATGAATGACAGTGACAGTTGACTAAAGATTGTGAAAGATCTCACTGGTACCAGTGTCAGTACACAAAAATAAAATGTTTTTTAATCAACAGCATGTACATGGAGTAATCAAGGAAACACCACACAGAAACTATATAAGGTTTCAAACAAAACGTGCTTGGCATTCCTGAGATAACTTTCAGGTCAATGTCCTTTCTAGCTTTCCACTCTCCATAGCGTTTTGTTTTTTTTTTGTTCAGTATAATTTTTGGCCAAGCTGGGAGAATAGAATTCTTAGAATAAGGCAAGCAGACTTTTGACTATTTCTGATTGTGATTTTTCTGGTCATGAATAAATGAGTATTGGTACAGATTATGTCAGATAGGAATTTGATCTATTTCACTATGCCTAAAAAAATGCAGTGCAGTAAATCCTCTATCATAGCAAAATCATAACTACATTTTCTTCCACTTCTTCCATTTTACAGAAAGTTAAGATATCAAAAGAATTAGGGAAAAAATACACTGATCCAACTAGTTCTGGAGTGTGCTTTGAGCTTTTATGACAGGTACTTGAAGTAGTTACATAAAATGCAGTGTCCAAGAGGTTGGTTCTAACATAGAAGAAAAACTTGACAGGCAATTTGAAAGTGTTGATTGTAACTTTTACTTTTAGTGATAGATCTTGCCTCATATCTTTGGGAAGTTAAATGAGGTCAACAAAGAGACAACTCCAGATACATGACTTTCTAGTTCTTCTTTTCTTCCCTGAGTACTACTTTTCAATAACTTTTTTAAGGCCTTTTCATTCTTTCATGTTATTTTCTGCAGTGACATTCCCACATGCAGATGAGCAATTCAGATTCCACCCATCTCTCTTTCTTATCCCTATCAGAGGATCCTTCAATCATGATTACAAGTCTAAGACATGTTTAATCTTCTATTCTTAGTTACAGCTACAGGCTTATTTTATTTATTGTTTGTGCTTTGTTTTGTCTCACAAATCCATGTAGAAGCAAGTTTCCTTATTCTGTGCCTATGTCATCCTTTAAGTGATTTAAGTTGCTCTCAACTTGTTTCTTGAGTAGTACTTTTCATCAATGTATTTAATCTTCCCTAATTGACTTGAAGCTTCAAAGTTACGCACCTCAGTTTTAGTTTACTATATTTGTTCTTTCCAGACCATACCACATTTCAACTGCAGAAGAAATTGTGTGAAACACAGTTAATGCCACTTTTACAGGGGCTCTGGCTTCTCTCAAAAGTGGTATTTTTTAGATTAAATGGTCTTGTCTTCCCTTTTCAGGTTGAAGTAAAAGATCTCAATGTACAATTTTACACAGAGCAAGAAATCTTTCCTAGGCCAAGAGCTGGTGGGAGGGGCACCCCATGTGAACGTAAAATATAGTGCAGTGATGTTAGATCAGCAGTACAATGTTATTATCCCAGTCTCCTAAACTATGGGAGTCTAGTGGGCAGAAAAAAATCAGCAGCTCACATGCCATTTTAAAATAACTAATTAACAAGCTGTTGCACTTATTAACAACTCAGTGGTCTACAGTTTTTCATTGAAAAATTCATCCACCATTTGTTCAGATATTTGGAAAGCTTTGGAAATGTTTGATGGCAGATATGAAGAGGCGGCAAAAGGACAGAAGCAAAGGCCTTCTTTGGAACTATGGTCGAATGCAGCAGCAGATTCTGCTGCAGCAGCTGTCAGCATCTGTATGTTTTTTTATTAAGACTGATTCTGAGAGCAGAGGACATTTTGAATTGTAGCCATGACCATCGTCCTGTTCCTGGCATTACTTCTTTGCCACAATTGGGTGTGAAGCCCTGTTTTGCTCCACTAATTGACCCCCTTTCCCATTGGAGAAGCCACTAATTTGCCATCTGATGCTTGATGGGATGATGGGGACCCACAGTGGACCATTCAGTTTTCATTTGTCCCTGACATCCCACTAAAAGTCATAAAATCCACCCACTGATGTCTGGCCCAAGTTTTGTCCCTCAGTTAACAGCTTTGAACAGCTTCTATATCATTGTTATTTGTGGGACTTTAGAGTGTGCTTGTTAGCTAGCCCATTTTCCTTAATCACCAATAATGGCTATGCTTCAAAAGTAATCCTATGAATGTGGAGTGTCTTAGAATGTCTTGAACTTTGTGAGACTGTGATTCAAATGCAAGTTATTGCTCCTTTCTTATGTGATCTACTACAAAACAAAACAGTTACCTTTAAAGCAAACTCATTCTCTGGCTGCAGTGTGTACTGGAGTCTATAGTAAATGGCCTCTCTGGAGTCGCAACAGGGTTTGTCGCATGGCAGCTTGAGGTCTGGCCAGTCCTTCTCAGTAAACTTTATCTTCGCCTTCTTGTCATCCATCAAGAAAGAGCTGTATTTCGCACAAATGCATTTCAGCGACGTCACACACCGGCTGGCAAGAGTTTTGAAAATGTCCGCCTGATTTTCAAAATTACACCACTTCTGTAATTCCCGATCTGTACTGCAAAAGCTCAACTTCTCTATATCTACTTGAGAATTGCTGACATAATAGTAGCCGGCAGCTCCATCCAGACTCCGGGATTTTATCATTCCTGCCCTTCTACTACTGGCATGAATTGGAAGATTGAATTTTTCATCAGCGTTCATTGGACTGCTAGGTGTACTGAAACTCTTTTTTCCATCATAGATACCATACAGTGGGTTACTTATTTGAAAGCCAGGAGACGCTGGAAGACTTTTTGTTAAACCAAGCTGACTTTCACCAGGAGCTGAGTTGGTCCTGCTGAGTGTCTTCTTTGGAAGGGGCGGTGGCTTTGAGTTGTCAGGAGACCTCTCATCAACTGACTTTTCTTGGGAGGCCATTAAAGCTTCACTCACGCTTTGGAGAGTCTTTATGGGTGTTGCTCTGGAATGGACTTCTGCTACGAAGCAAATAAAACAAACACCTGTTATTTCACAAGAACAAAGATCCTATTGTCAATCTAGTTGCCTTTATAGAGCTATCACAGAATCACAAAAGTGCTACAGCAAAGAGGAGGACATCTAGCTCAATGTATTTCAGCCAGCTTACTGCAGGAGCAGTTTATCTTCTGCTACTCCCCACTGCCTCCCCATTAGTCCTGCACATTCTCCCTTTAAGGGTAATAATCCAATACCCTCTTGAAAACTTGTATTAAACTGGCCTCCACAACACTGTCAAGCAGTGCATTCTGGGTCCCATGAAAACATGTCGACCAATGTGCCACTGCGTCTCTTGCAAGTTGCTTTAAATCTGCCCTCTCTTCTTCTTTGTCCTTCCACCTATGTGAACATTTGTTTTTGACCTACTTCAGATCCATCATGAACTTGAACATCTCTACCAAATGTGTCAAATATTTCTTGTCTAAGGTAAACAGCCCCTACTTCCCAATGAAATCACTAATTTTATTGACCATGATCTAGTATATGCAACACAGTTGATGCTGTTGTTTTTGTCCAGGGATATCGGTTATAGAGCTGTGAACCAAAGCATGCCTTTAGGATATTAAAAATGAAGAGTAACTGTTACATCCACAACAGGCCTTACTTCTGGTGACAGTGACATTTCTGACAAAGGAAGAGGGTTTCTTCCAGGAGTTATCACCAGGAGGCCAAGAGAGATCTTTCCTTTATCTTACCAAACTACATCATTAACTACCTACCCTACACTGATGATGTCCCCTTGCTCAATTCTAGCCATTCCCAGGTATCTGGAATTAACTGGCATCTCTGGTGCTGGTGCCATCTTGATAAGTCTGTTGTGCACCCAGTCAAGCACTGATAGATAAGAGTTGCCTTACAGAGTTCCTGACATTTATCCCATATGTGACAGAGAAGGCAAGATGGACACGCTAATTTGTGTTCATATACATGGAGTTCTGCTGGGGTTGTGTAATTGCATGATGTCATAAGAACATAAGAACATAAGAACTAGGAGCAGGAGTAGGCCGTCTGGCCCTTCGAGCCTGCTCTGCCATTCAATAAGATCATGGCTGATCCTTTCGTGGACTCAGATCCACTTACCCGCGTTCTCACTGTGTCCCTTAATTCCTTTATTGTTAAAAAAAAATCTACCTTTTTCTTGAAAACATTTACTGAAGTAGCGTCAACTACTTCACTGGGCAAGGAATTCCATAGATTTAACAACCCTCTGGGTGAAGAAATTCCTTCTCAGTTCAGTCCTAAATCTGCTCCCTCTAATCTTGAGGCTATGCCCTCTTGTCCTAGCTTCACCTGCCAGTGGAAACATCCTCTCTACTTTTATCTTATCTATTCCCTTCATAATTTTATATGTTTCTATAAGATCCCCCCTCAATCTTCTGAATTCCAATGAATATAATCCCAATCTACTCAGTCTCTCCTCATAAGTCAAACCCCTCAACTCTGGAATCAACCTAGTGAACCTCCTTTGCACCCCCTCCAGTGCCAATACATCTTTTCTCAAGTAAGGAGACCAAAACTGCACACAGTACTCCAAGTGTGGCCTCACCAGCACCTTGTACAGCTGCAACATAACCTCTCTGCTTTTTATTTCAATCCCTTTAGCAATGAAGGACAAAATTCCATTTGCCTTCCTAACTACTTGTTGTACCTGCAGACCTACCTTCTGTGATTCATGCACAAGGACACCCAGGTCCGTCTGCAACTGCATGCTGCAACTTTTTACCATTCAAGTAATAATCCTTTTTACTATTACTATTACTCCTACCAAAATGTATGACTTCACATTTATTTACATTGTATTCCATCTGCCAGACCTTTGCCACTCACTCAATGTATCTATGTTCCTCTGCAAAGTTTCACAGTCCTCTGCACACTTTGCTTTGCCACTCATCTTAATGTCATCTGCAAACTTTGACACCCTACACGTGGTCCCCAACTCCAAATCATCTATATAAATTGTAAATCTTCCCCCTGACAAGCATAGCAAGTCATGACACCAGACCAGACTTAGTTAAAAGATGTAAGGGGTTGCTTTCAGTGTCGAGATAGGCCTTGCCAGAATTCTTGTGCCAGTCTGCCACATTTCTCACAATAGCCCAAGTTGTTGTAAGGTTCTTCCCATTGTGCTTGATGCAGATATGAATGAAAGAATTGTTCATTTTCTCTACAGCAATATAGCTTTGAGGCTAAATGTGACAACTAGAATGTAGAATGTTATAGCAGCCAATTGGCTGAGGAGTCCAAATGTAGCTGTCATTATGTTATATAACATCTATACAATGCAATTCGAACACATTTAGTTTACATGTTATGGTATAAATTTAAAAAAAACTTATAGAATGATTTTCCCCCCATAATGCTGTATATAATTCAGAGTTTAAAATTTATTAGTATACTATATATTTTTGTAATCTTGTGAATACTACAAACATTTTCTCTTTGATTCCAGGTTTTATACCATCCTACTTTAAAGAGTAATCTTTACTGAGCTTTTTCATTAAAAATTATACTATAATAATAATATTATATTTTCTAAAGAAATTAGTTTATGGATTAGTTTCTGGTAAGATGTCAATAACTGTATAGTGATTGTAACAAGGTCTGCCAGGTGGACATCATAGAATATGAGTTGGACCAGGTTAACAGCTATAGTCAGGGAGTCCTGGCTGACAGATATAAACAGGAGTGTCAGAGGTATTGTTCGCTCTGAGAGCTGGCTCTGAGGAAGCCAAACCAGTATCAAGTACTTTGCACAGGTAAATAAAGGATGACTTGATCACGGGATATCGGCCTCTGTGGAGTTATTTCACACTAGTTTACATCTGGTCATTCTATTTCATTTTCCCACTACATATTATTTAATAAATTGCTTTTTGATCATAATGACTTTACAATAAAAATGAAAGTGAAAAATTGATATCCATACAGCTTGTTCCAAACTTGGGTGTGTCAATACATTTTAATACTCTTGATATTTACAATGCATTCTACGTCAAACATTAAATCTGAGGGTTTCCATCCCCTGAGTATACTATGCCTGAAAAGTTTTAGACAGAGATCTTTCCCCATTGTGCCTCTGTATCTGATTTGCAAGCTGTACGCTACCATATTGTGTCCAAATGCAGATTTCTTGATTAAGGCTGGGTAGTATTTGACTGTTCCAATCAGCAGGAAATCAGGACATGGGTGTGGACATGGGGCAGTAGTATTCCACAATATATTTTGTGGATTTTACATACATATTTTGAAGACCTGTTGGTTGCCCTGTTGTTGGTCTCTTTAAATGACAGCAGACCAATCATCAGCACAGTAAAGTTGATGACCCTAATTAGACCCTGAAAATTTTTCCCTGAGTATGATGCTGCCTTGACATTGTTTTAATTCAGGAATTTTAAACTTACAATCAGTACCTCAAAATATTAATGATGTTTTGCGTTGATGCTTAATCTTTTAATACATGATTTTTTTGCAGAGGCTGAATGGCCTACTTCTGCTCCTATTTCCTACGTTTTCTATGGCAATCTTAAAAAAAGGGCTCTCAACTTCAACTTTCATCGTTTGATTTTCACTGGCTGGAACCTTTTATAGACTAAAATGGAGTTAAAAAAATAAAAATAACGACTCAGCTGTCACTGCGATCATCTGAATAGGTTGAGGCAAGCTTCAGAAAACCATCAATAACTAAAAATGTCTAAACTAAAATTAATGTCATCGAATGATTTTCACCAGTCACTGAAATCTGTATCTCTTGTTTGATTCATACTTTTCTAGAAGTTTTATATATCGGGATAAAAGTTGCCTGCAGATTATCTAGCTTGGAAAAAGAAATAACTGGTTTACACAAAAGGACTGTCTTTCAGACAATTGGTTTGGGGCAGACAAAGGGGAAGAAAATTGATTTACAACATCAGAAGTTGGAAGGCTCGCGCTATCTTCTCTCTGCCTCAGAAACCAGTGCCTGGTGATGAACCAAACTGGAGAAATATCCATTTGCTGAGAACGGAATGATATCTGAGTATATGAATAAGAAGGGTTTAGAAGGATATGGGCCAAATGTTGGCAAATGGGATTAGGTCAGATTGGATGTCTGGTCGTTGTGGGCAAGTTGTACCGAAGGGTCTGTTTCCATGCCGTATGACTCTATGACTGTATAAGTCAGACAGTTGGATTATTCAAAGCTGAACAGTAAACAATGTTGATTGTCATAAAAAAACCATTTGGTTCACTAACGTCCTTCAAGGAAGGAAATCTGTCATCTTTGCCTCATCTGGCCTACATGTGATTCCAGAAACTCAGTAACTTGGTAGATATGTAGTTGCCTTCTTGGCAATTAGGAATTGGCAAAAATTGCTGGCTTAGCCAGCGATGCCTGCATCCTATGAATGAATTTGAAAAAAAAATTGATTTGAAGAAAGGATAGTGTACTTGATTTGCCTTCTGCAAGGCTATGCTGTTGACAATATGCTTACAATTTGAAAAGTCCAAGTTTTAACTTTATTGTATACATCACTGAGATTATGAGCTGTATGTATTGCATTATTTAATAACGTTTGGCTTCATGTTTGTTGAGATTATTACGCATTTATTTGAAGCTTGTTCAGGACCAAATCAATTTTGGGTTCAAGTATGCAACTAAAGCAGATACAGAACCAGATATTTCTTCTGTCATTCAATCTGAGTTTGTTGTGTCTCTCAATCGAAATGCCCACATTACTGTAAAAGTGATCTTTTTAAAAACAATCCATTTGCAAGTTTTGTTTCCAAAAAGGAGTTGTGAGATTATGGTTTGCGGCCTGAGTTTGTTCTTTTACAGAAGTCCAGTCATAATTTTTGAAACCGTTATTACCTTACACCATCAAAAAAACAAAGTGGTGATTGTCAACTGCCAACTGTCTGTTTTCTTGCTTGTAAAATAAAGCAGGCAGCAATTGAAAATTTGGTTGGTGGAGGTGGGGGAAGG